AAGAAATCTACAAATAAAGAAACAACAACAAAAAGTAGATAATGGCACTTTATCTAACTGAAGGAGGGGTTCTGCTTTTTCTTTCTGGTAGGGGTTCTTGAATTTCCAAGAATGTTTCATTTTATACAAAATTTACACAAATTTGCTGAAATATTTCACTTGCTTTTGTGTTCACTAATGTATTTACCTAAAGCAAGGTAAGCATATTTCCATGTAGACAGAAAAGAATGAAATGGAACCCCCAAAAAACGTAGAAAAAAGGAAATGCAGAGAGAAAAAAATTAAAATCTTTTAATATCCATAAGCCTAAAATTAATAAACACATGAAAAGTGATGGTGCTTTTATAGCCGAGTTGAAGAATATCCTTAATACTCGGTCTAATGAATTATCACACTGAACATTTCATTACCTGGTATGATTTCTCTTTTAAGTGACTATGTCCTTTTTCATGGTTATTGAAAAAGAAATTAATCTATGTAGCTATTCCTTAAAAGTTTGCATTTCCAAGCATAATAAAGTTTTAGAAGTCAAATCACCTCATTTGTTTATATTACTTCAAACACCGCATGGGAAATTTTTAGGCAAGGTACCAAAAGTGGGCCAGGCTTGTTACACACTCCCCAGCCTGCCGCACTCCTGACCTAACTTGTTCCTCTGTTAGGTTCTACCACACGTCGCACATCAGGGCTGGTGCACTAATTTGCTTCTGTTCCACACAGGGCCTGGCACATTGAGCATCAGTCCTGTGCCTGACACTGTGCTAGATGGTGGGGTTGCAGCCATGAGCATAGACACAACAGACACGGTCCTTGCAATCTACTGTTGAGTACTGATCGGAACAAGAGGATTGTCTATAGACAGGTATGCCTAGGAGCATGATTGTGGGATGACAAATTGCACCATGTGCAATTGGCAGAAAATTGCCATTGGGATATGTAAATGTATGTATGTGTGTGCACGCATGTGTGTATTCCTTTTTTTTTTTCTGAGACAGTGTCTCGCTCTGTCGTTCAGGCTAGCTCGCAGTAGTGCAATCTTGGCTCACTGCAACCTCCGTCTCCAGGATTCAAGTGATCGTCCTGCCTCAGCCTCCCTAGTAGATGGGATTACAGGCACCTGCCACTGCACCCGGCTAATTTTTGTATTTTTTAGTAGAGATGGGGTTTCACTATGTTGACCAGGCTAGTTTTGAACTCCTGACCTCATGATCCACCTGCCTCAGCCTCCCAAAGTGCTGGAATTACAGGCGTGAGCCAGCACACCTGGCCAACCATTGGGTAATTTGTAGCAAACTCCTTCTTCTATTTTTCCGAATACTCACGGTGGCAACACCATTTCAACTTGGACTGACAGAATTTTATGTCTATGGCCACAACCTGAACTCATGAGTTATATTTTAGGACCATTTCAGAAATTTAATCAAAAGTACAGTAGTAGTAAAAAAAAATGCATGCATGATAAGTGGTCTTTATTATTCATTTATATCTTAAAAATGTGCAGTTTTTCATTTGGGTATAATGCAATATACCTAGGTAAACATGTCTTTTGCAGTATATACCTTGGTTTATTTATTTATTCTTCATCCTCCAAGAAGTAACTTTTATTGCTGTTTCTACTATACAGGATAAAAGAGAAAGTAAATTCTTTATATTTAAAAGCCTAACAGCATGAATCCTCTGAGTTGCTTTACAATTTCTGCCACTAAATTTGAGCCTGGAATTAAGTGTCACCAGAGTTTAAAACCTTTTAAAACTCAAAAAGGTTTTAAAAACAGGGATGCCAGTTGAACTTTGGTTATACAACAAATGCCCCAGGCAGAAAAATAAGTTGGAAAAAAAAGAGGGGAAACTATTTGTAAGTCTGAACTTCAGTGGAATTTAACCAGTTCTCAAGAACACTGGGGAAATCCACTGCTAATTGTCAAAATTTTACCCAGCTTTCTAGAAACACCTATAGGAAAGGAGATTGTGGTTGTTTTTTCTCCAACATTTCAGAAAATGTAACACCTATCAGAAACTAGATTCTCAGAGAGCACTTGAGGAATTTTAGATTGACTCAATGAAGTGTTATATGAGCAAGTAGATTATGATTTCTCTTAGAGATTGAGCATGTATTCCTGATTATTGTAAATAAGCAACCTATAGTTGCTTCATTCTGCTTAGTTTGCATCTTAACTATTTAATGGTTTTCTGCTACATTTTAATTGGTAGCCATGAGAAGAATGAGTTGAACATACTGTCAATATATATATATATACTTAAGCTAATGAAGTAGCTCTATTCTTGTATAGTGAAATATGACCCAGTCAATATCTATATAACAGTGTGTCTTTGGATTAAATAAATGGCCTGAAGAGATTTGGGTTGTTTTGTTTGTTTGTTTTTTGCAGGGATCAGAAGTATTTTGCAGGGTCCACAGAGAGTGAGCAGAATTGTAGAAAACATGGTATCAAATCCTGAAGTTCTAGTAATACTCAACCTTATATAACATTTATCTGACTCACAAAAAAACTGTCATTCTTGGTAATATTTAGACTCTTAATTGAGTCTAACTCAGTTGTACTGTCTATAGGACAACGTATTTTTTTCCCAAAAGCATCTCTTTTTAAATGTAAAATATAACAATGAAACATGAAAAAGTTGTCTAGTTATTTATGGCCAAAAATTAATAATAAAATAGTTTTTGAATGATGAAATTTGAAAAAAATTCTATTTTTAGCAGCTATAAAATCAGAATACACAACAAATTCTAGGGGAGAGTGCTTGCTTATATAAAATATTCAATTATCTCCCTCACCGAGATATTCAACAGTTTTATTACTTACTTCAACAGTTTAATTGCAAATGATAAATAGATATTTATTGTTTTTACAAGTACTCTTATAACATAGTTCTACTTTGCCCATCAGTAGAAATCACAAAGGAATATTAATTTTGCAGTTTTTTCTGACCTAGAATTCCTATTATTGAAAATTAGTGCAAAATGAGATCATATGTAGCATTTCAGGAAATGCTGACATTTCGAGACTTCACCTTCATGACTTCAAGAGGAAGCTATCTGTATTGCTGTGGTTAAAGAATTTTTACCTTTGCTTCTCAGGCTTAGTAGATTACTAGTGTTTTCCCTTAATTCTTTAAAATTCTAACTTGTTGAAAATGATTTAAAAATTATAGAGTACCGGGCTGGGCACGGTGGCTCACGCCTGTAATCCCAACACTTTGGGAGGCCAAGGCGGGTGGATCACAAGGTCAAGAGATCGAGACCATCCTGGTCAACATGGTGAAACCCCGTCTCTACTAAAAATACAAAAAATTAGCTGGGCATGGTGGCGCGTGCCTGTAATCCCAGCTACTCAGGAGGCTGAGGCAGGACAATTGCCTGAACCCAGAAGGCGGAGGTTGCGGTGAGCCGAGATCGCACCATTGCCCTCCAGCCTGGGTAACAAGAGCGAAACTCCGTCTGAAAAAAAAAAAAAAAATTATAGAGTACCTGCTATTGTTGTCATCATCTTTTTTTTTTTTTTTTTTAACTTTCTACATGGTATGAAATCCTTAGAGAAAAAAGAAACAGCATTTTAAAATCAAAATTGGCACAGTTCTAATTAGCAATACTTAAGTTTATTTGGAAAGGAATTGAGTGATTTATATGCCGATTCTTTCCTGCTGTTGTGGCACTTTACCAATTTCATTAGTAAGTTCAGCAGTAACAGCAGCAACTTAAGTAATAATTTAAGAAGTAATACTGAAGTTAAGAGTGTTCTGTGCTATTTCCTGGAGGTATTCATTTAGCCCAGATGTCTCCTATGGTTCTACTGGAATTATATTTGGAAAATATCAAGCCACATAAATAGAATTTTTAACTGAAATTATAAATCATTGTAATTAGTACTATAAAGGTGACAGAGCCTAGGTTTTGCTGTTGGAAGATCAGAGATTGGGTCTAGGCTCCATTACTTAACAGCTGTTTGATCTTTGGCAAATTATTTCACCTTTCACACTCGTTTCCTTCATGAGTAGGAATAATGTCCGTGGAAGGGATTTCCATCATGTATAACAGTCACATGTGCCTGGTACACAGTCTCTGGGGGGAGCACGTGGTAAGAGAGTAGGAGGAACTGTTGTGTCAAAGTGAGGGCAACATGGGGAAGCCATGCGTGTTATTTGTCCTTTAAAGCTAAGTTCTTATGAAATATGCCTTTCAAAATGTGCAGAAGAAAAACTCGAGATTTCTCATCTACAATTCCCAGAAAGAGATCACCCACTCTCCTTTTTGATGTGAAGAAAAGGATGCTGAGACTTTCATGCCTGTTCACACTGGGCTGTTTAGCACATTTGCTGCTCTAGATTTCTTCTCATTGCCCAATTGTTTCAAGGAGGTAGACTTATTCTCTATTTTTCCCCCCAGGTCCATCACTATGTTTTTCATTTCTTTTGTGACCTGCTCCCATTTGGGTACCAAAAAAAAAAAAAAAAAAAAAAAGCCACCAAAAAGTCCAAGTACCACAAGTTGCTTCTGGATTGGTGATATGAAGTTTCTCTTTCTCAGGCTACAAATTGTTTTAAAGTTTCCTGTCATGTTGGCTCATATTTAAATCCTCATAGTGAAAATGGCAAAACTGTTTATTTCTTTTATTGACTATGCTAGAACTTCTACTGTTCAGAGATCTGCTCTGGTCTCTTGCCGAAAAGCAATCCCCTCCTATTTGTTTTCTTCTCTTCCAGCTTTAAACATACCTTGGGTTTCACCAGGAATGTGTTTTCCCCTTAGTGTGTGTCAAGAACTCTAGTTTTTAGACGGCAAATCAGAAGTCTCTCTCCTATTGTACCGCTATACACACCTTTGTTGGGGCAGTTTTTCAACAGGTTTACATTTATCAATTTATATTTTATTCTGTCTTTCACGCTATGAATCTACAATAGAAGGGCAAAATCCAAGATTTCATCATGTTTGTATTTCTAGCACATAACAAATACGCCATAAATGTTTGTTGAATGGTCAGATGACTATATTTTATGTTAGAAAGTAGCTATCAGTTTTTCTTAAAAATAGCAACAAGATGACTTTTATGTCTCCCTTGTTTTCTGTAGGATATGATCATCATGACACCTATATTACTGATTCTTTTGGGGGCCACTGAGATGCTGCAAGCTGACTTACTTCCTGCTGAAAAGAGTAAGGACCTTCAATTCAATAACGTTTATTTTTCAAAGTATGTTAGTAAAAAGGTAGCATTATTTTCTCTTAAACTGTCAATTAGAACATTATATATGGATTTTTGTAAGAGACAATATTTATCCCATCAGAAGACAGATGCTTTAAACATGCTGTATTTTAAGAAACTAATATTGGTTGAAATGCAAATGTTATGCTACAGTGAGAAATAAAAGTCCATATGTGGGTGGCTGGGCACCATGAATAGAGCTGGTGCCAGTGGCCGAATTTGGAAAGTCTTTCCATACAATGGAATAGTTAGCGGGCTTCATAACTGTACATTAAGAAGGTTCCACTGCATTTTGTCCTGAAATTGGTTGATGTACGTATTTGGTGTGATGACAGAGTATAAGGAAAACCATCACATGGTCCAAATCTAGCATTGTCAACAGAACTATCTATGGTAATGACAATGTTCTATCTTTGTAATGTCCAAGTCAGTAGCCACTAGCCATATGTGATCACTGAGCCCTTGACATATGGATAGTGCAACTCCGGTAATTAATTTAAATTAATTTAGGCCAGACACAGTGGCTCACTCCTATAATCCCAGCACTTTAGGAGGCCAAGGCAGATGGATCACTTGAAGTCAGGAATTTGAGACCAGCCTGGCTAACATGGGGAAACCCCATCTCTACTAAAAATACAGAAATAGCCAGGTATGGTGGCACATGCCTGTAATCTCAGCTACTTGGGAAGCTGAGGCAACAGAATAGCTTGAACTGAGAGGCAGAGGTCGCAGTGAACTGAAATTGCACCACTGCTCTCCAGCCTGGGTGACAGAGTGAGACTTTGTCTCAAAAATTAATTAATTAATTAAAATTTTAATAGCCACAAGTTGCCAGTGGCTACCATAAGGGACAGTGCAATACAGACAGAGCTCTAAAAATCTTCATGTGGTAAATGTGGATATAGAGGTGTAGAAGGTTGTTAAGGTCAATGGATAAATCCTGATTACTTAGTAAATGAATAAAAGTTTTGGTAATTGTGTGCACAATACTGTCCTAATTGTAAATAAAAATAAATAAATATATGCCCAGAAAAATCATAGTGAATATATCATTTGTTACTGCCATTCTTAGTGGTATGATTATTTTAAAATTTTTATTTTCTTCTTTGTGCTTACCTGTGCTTTCCAATATTTCTTCAAAGAATTGTGATTTTGTAATTAAACAAAAGTTTATATTTTGAAAGCAAAGTCAGAAAGTGGCTCACGAAGGGGGAAGAAAGCTTTTCTTTGTGTAGAGGCCTATTTAAGTAAGTTTGCTTGCAAATATTTTTGTCTGTGACTCATAAGAGGTAAGTACATTTTTACATTATGTACCAGCACACATACAAATATATATCTATAACTACCTTTATGTAGTAGAAACAAGAGATACATGAAATAGCTCTTATGTTTGATGCACACTGATATTTTCTACTCTATTTTTCTTCCACATCACTAAAACAAAAATTCTGATCACAAACCAATACATTGTTATCATTGCCTGTTAATGGATAATGACCCTCAGTTTGAAAATTATGGTTGTAGTGAATAGTGATACAGTAACATGTTCATATTTCAATAAAAATATAGATATTACAGGTAAACACCTGGGCAACATAAAAAAGATAAGTTAAAAACAGTTTTAAAGAAACTGCTTGCAGGCTGGCCATCATGGCTCATGCCAGTAATTCCAGCATTTTGAGAGGCTGAGGTGGGTAGAACACTTGAGGTCAGGAGTTTGAAACCAGCCTGGTCAACATGGTGAAACCCTGTCTCTACTTGAACAACAACAACAAAAAATTAGCCCAGCATGGTGGCATGCGCCTGTAGTCCCAGCTACTTGGGTAAAAATAGCCACTCTTTCTTTGCCCTGGTGTTCAGGCACAGCAGAACAACTGTGTCTGTGGTGCTGGCAGATCCAGGACAGCATCTGCAGGGCAACAAATATTCAAAAAGTTTTAAAATTGCTGCCTATATCCAGTTGAACACTGTGTTGTTTCTTTTTTGAATCAACAGTTTCACTTCTCCCACCTGTCAATTTTACCATTAAAGTTACTGGTTTGGCTCAAGTTCTTTTACACTGGGAACCAAATCCTGATCAAGAGCAAAGGAATGTTAATCTAGAATATCAAGTGAAAATAAATGCTCCAAAAGAAGATGACGTAAGTGTTTATTCTAACGGATATGCTTACTGAGAATAAATATGCATTTTGACTGTAATTTCTTTATCAAATGAAATTTTAAATTTGAAAAGAAAAACAAAACTGCTGATAGGCTCTTTGTTATGTTACCAGTAGAATAGTGTCTCTGCAGGAATGCCTGTGAGCTAGTGCTGGGTATATTGTTCAGCATTACACAGCATTGCAAAATATTTTAACTTTCGGATGATTCTTTCCCTTAAGGAAGAATGTTTAGTAACTTCTTAGGCACAATGGATTAGATACTGGTTTTCTGTTTCCCCTAAAATTACAACAGAACAGGGGAAAGTAGTCTAGTAAAACAAGAAGCGAGCAGGCAGAGTAGAGAGTTAGGGAAACCAAGTTCAAATCCTAGTTTTTCCACTTTCTGCCTTTGCAACCTGGGACAGGTCACTTAGCTTCTCAGAGCCTCAGTTTTACCTCGGGGCTACATTCAGACACCTGCTGCATATTAGGTGTGCAGTACATTCAAACAAAGGGAGAAGTGATTCATATTAACTATTTTTCAGTCAATTTGGAATTCTAGAGAATTTTCTGTCAAACATTGACCTCTGGGGAGATGGCGGTCAAGGAGAACTTGAGTTCAACTGTATTATTTTATTTGTATTTACAAGAATAATGCGTTCATGTGTTGTTGAGAAATTACTGTGTTGTTATAGTGGTTTTGACTTTTTTCTAGCAAAACTGTTGCATTGCATTTTTCTCATCATTTAAAAAGTGGAAGAAAATGCAGATTTGATTAAAATAGCTCTCTTAAGGCTAGTTCTCTTTTATGTATCATGACTTGTGGGTTTTATTTTTAGTATGAAACCAGAATCACTGAAAGCAGCTGTGTAACCATCCTCCACCAAGGCTTTTCAGCAAGTGTGCGGACCATCCTGCAGAACGACCACTCATTCCTGGCCAGCAGCTGGGTTTCTGCTGAAGTTCATGCTCCACCAGGTAAAGCGAACCTCCAGAAGTCCAGTGCCTATGTTTTGGACTTTGAAACTATGGAAAAGTAGAAAAATTAACACTAACTCACTTTTCTTCAGTCAGTCACCTGTTCTTATCAAGTACTCCCATATCAACAACATCCTAACCAAGGCTGCTGCCACTTCTTATAACCAACTGAATTCCATTTAGAACATTCTTGCAGAAATAGCCACTGTCTCTGCATTGGCCTCCAGTGGAAAGCTGATGTTTCTGATACTTAGAATCAGTAATACTTCTGATCAAACACTTAAGTGTGCACACACAATAGGGGAGAGAAAACGGGAAAAGCAGGCTACCAACTTCTGGGATATGTGGGTGCACCCAATAACAATTGTCTTGGTCAGTCAAGCTCATAGGTAATTTTCGAACGATCATCTTCTCATATCACCAGATGAAAAGACCATGCCTCCTGAATTGTGTTGGTGACTTAGAATCATAAATATCTTCCCATTTACTTTTTTTTTTGGAAAGAGAGTCTCACTCTTGTCACCCAGGCTGAAGTGCAGTGGTGTGTTTTCAACTCACAGCAACCTCTGCCTCCTGGGTTCAAGTGGTTCTCATGTCTCAGTCTCCTGAGTAGCTGGGATTATAGACATGTGCCTCTATGGCAGACTAATTTTTGTATTATTATTATTGTAGAGATGGGGTTTTGCCCTGTTGGCCAGGCTGGTCTTGAACTCCTGGCCTCAAGCTATCCACCTGCCTTGGCCTCCCAAAGTGCTGGGGTTACAGACGTATCTGGCCCAATTTACTTTATAACTTGTCTAGACCACATACCAACCAATTTGCATGAGCTTGATTCCAAGTACAGAAACTAACTCAAGGTAGATACAAGAGCACAGAGATGGGTTATTGTATGTTCCTTACATCAAACCACTATTCCCCCTTTCTATAATGAATAACTGGATTTTACCTATGAGGCACTTTGCCATTTAGATTTCTACAATTCTAATTATCCTCGGAGTACTCTAATACAGGATGACACTAATAAAAATTATTTCTGTTTTGAACCAAGTAGAATCCACATGAAATGATTCCTTGGATGAGAATTACAAGACAAAGAGTCTTCAGAATCTGTAAAGTGTATTTGGGGCGTGGACTTTCGGGTCATTTGGTGCATGGACAAATATATATTAGATTGGTGCAAAAGTAATGACCAAAATCTGATTACTTTTGCATCAACCTAATATATGAATATATACTATAAACTGAATAAGTCAATCTGCTTTGAGGCATTTCTTTAATACCTCACTTTAACTTCTCTAGAAATCCATCTTTAACTTCTCTAATTTCTCTATAGGTAATAAAAGCTTCTCTCTCATCATCTTCTCCCTTTGCTTCTTGAAAGACACTGGCTGGCAGTGATAAAAAATGATCTACAGATGATTTAAGTCATGATAAAAAAAAAAACCCCTTCTGTCTCTCAAGGCTCTCATTTTGATGCGGTCCTTCCTGACCTGGGTGCAAGAGCTTGTTTTCTTCTCTGAACAACCACCACCAAGGCAGTGTTTCCCAGTGTATTCTAAAGGCCAACAGTTAATACAGCAACAAGAGAGGTTGAAATGAAAACAAGCCTTTCTAGTCACATAATTTGAGAAATCCTTAATGAAGCAAACATTAAAAGGTTGCATTTAAAATCTTGGCTGGGCACAGTGGCTCACGCCTGTAATCCCACCACTTTGGGAAGCCGAGGCAGGTGGATTACTTGAGGTCAAGAGTTCAAGACCAGCCTGGCCAACTTGGTGAAACCCCATCTCTACTAAAAATACAAAAATTAGCTGGACATGGTGGCATGTGCCTGTAATCCCAGTTACTAGGGAAGCTGAGGCAAGAGAATTGCTGGAACCTGGGAGGTAGAGGTTGCAGTGAACCAATCACACCATTGCACTCCAGTCTGGGCGACAAAGTAACTCTGTTTCCAAAAGTAATAAGAATAAATAATAAAATAAAATAAAATTTGAAGGTTTTCTTTTTTATTTTCTTTTTTTTATTTTTTTTTTTTTTTTTTTTTTTTTCTTTCTTTGAGACAGGGTCTCACTCTGTTGCCAGGCTGGAATGCAGTGGCATGATATTGGCTTACTGCAGCCTTGACCTCCCCAGCTCAAGTGATCCTTCCACCTCAACCTCTCCAATAGGTGGAACTACAGGCACCTGCCACTACACCTGGCTAATTTTTGTTTTTTGTAGATAGGGGGTTTTTCCACGTTATCCAGGCTGGTCTCGAACTTCTGTGCTCAAGAGATATCCAACTGCCTTGGCCTCCAAATGTGCTGGAATTACAGACATGAGCACCATGCCTGGCCAATTCAAGGTTTTCTTAAAGTTCTAGTATGTTAAAGAGGACTTTAATATGCTAATGTGCATCAAGTCTGCAAAGTAGTGGTATTATCTTTGAGTGTTGTCAAAACTCATTTCTTCTGAGCAGCAACCTGTGTAATTCATGAAACATTCGGATACAACCTAATGAATCATACAATTCTAGGATGTAAAGAGACACTCAAGACCTTTGTGTACCAACCCTCTTCTTTACAATTGAAAATATAGAGTCTAGAGAGTGGGGGACACTGTCTCACAGCTAGTTATTAACAAATGTGGCATTAGAGCACCAAAGTTGCTGGACATCAACCTCTAAATGATAATATATTGTACTTCTCTTGAACTTTCACACATTTATTGCACAAACACAACCACCAAGCCCCAAACAAAATAGCTGGGAAGCTCTTTAATATCATAAATGGAAGCTTTATAATTCTAATTCCGTATCTCCAGTAAGTTGACCTTTTGTGGTTAGAAGGTTTCTAGAAATATGTGATAATGGCTGGGCATGATGGGTCATGCCTGTAATCCCAGCACTTTAGGAGGCCAAGGCCAGTGGATCACTTGAGGTGAAGAGTTCAAGACCAGCCTGGCCATCATGCTGAAACCTCGGCTCTACTAAAAGTACAAAAATTAGCTGAGTGTGGTGGTGTACACCTGTAATCCTAGCTACTCAGGAGACTGAGGCATGAGAATCACTCCAACCCAGAGGCAGAGGTTGCAGTGAGCTGAGATCACACCACTGTACTGCAGCCTGGGTAACAGAGCGAGACTCTCAAGGGAAATAAAACCAATGTGAAGATGATTATTTTTGGTGATGAATAAGATGTTCACATCACTGCAGTTCCAAAAGAAGCACAAAATTCAGAGTCTACCATGCAATTTTTTGTTCTTTTTATTTTTGACTGCCTAGGGTCTCCCGGAACCTCAGTTGTGAATTTAACCTGCACCACAAACACTACAGCAGATAATTATTCACATTTAAGGCCATACCAAGTTTCCCTTCACTGCACCTGGCTTGTTGGCACAGATGCCCCTGAGGACACGCAGTATTTTCTCTACTACAGGTTAGTACTGAACCTATTTTTACTTAGGCAAATGGTTGTTTCCTGCAGTGTTATAAAACTCATGAGTGTTCCAATTTAGGTATGGTTCTTGGACTGAAGAATGCAAAGAATACAGCAAAGACATATTGGAGAGAAATATCGCATGCTGGTTTCCCAGGACTTTCATCCACAGCAGAGGGCGTGACTGGCTTGTGGTGCTTATTAACGGCTCTAGCAAGCACACTGCCATCAAGCCCTTTGATCAGCTGTTTGCCCTTCACACCATTGGTAAGACTGACTTAACCCAAATCTGAAATAACCTCACAATCTCAGCACTGGAGGGAAGGGTTATAAAGATCATCTAGTTTTACTACTTTTCTGATGCTAGGTAAGCATGGGGCCCATGTTTGAAAACCACTGGGGCAGGGTTCTCCATCCCAACAGCACCAATGATTCTGACAGGATAACTCTGTTACGGAGGGTTGTCTAGGGCATGGTAGGATATTTAGCATCATCTCTGGCTTCTCATACTAGATGCCATTAGTTTGCCCCTCTGCCCCTGAGATATGATATTTTTAAAAGTTTCAGACTTTGCCAAATGCCCCTCAGGGGTAAAATTTCTCCCAGTTGAGAATCACTGTACTAGGAAAAGTGAACTAGCTGCTTCAAAGAGACCATTTAATCTTTCATCACTTCTGACAGGTTTTGCAAAATTTCTGCCCCTGGGTGCTATTATGGACCCAGATGATTCGAGTCCTTTCCCTACAGAATGGCCTCTCTTAGCTGTTCCAGTAAATTTCCCATTCAGAAGCCCTTCTTCTCCAGGCTAACATCTCTCTCCCTGCATTTCCCACTGTTCTGGCCCATCTCCTAGATGTTCTCCAGCTCGAATATCTCTCAGTGTGCAATTCTCAGCTCTAAAAATTCTATTCATGTTTTCGTCTGCTCAATTCTCGATAGAGAAGTCACTCTGCCTCATCCCAGATAGTTCTGTTCATGAAACTCATCAGGTGCTCTCACATGACATTCTTGGTTATGGAGATTCCAGATTTCAATGGTGGGCAGGTTACTATGGGTTGCTGGGGGTGGGGGCAGACTGCTTGGACTTGGATTCTGGTTTTACCACTGACTGACTGTCCTTAGATGAGCTGACCATTCCTCTGTGTCTATTCTTATCTGAAACAATGGAGAGGAATCAATACTTTCATTGTGTTTTCATGAGAATTGTGTTGCTAATGATAAAGTGCTTAGAACAGTGCCTGGCATAAAGGTTTAATAAATATACTAGAATATTATTTAGAGGATATGATTTGGCTGTGGCATAGCTATATCCAATGGATGTAACTTTGTGTAAAGAATCATAGCCCTTACTAAAGAAGTTATGCAATTCTTTCTAGTAGTATATTTCTAAGGTGAACGAAAAATGTCACTTTCATGAAAATTGGCAATAAAAGATGCTGAGGAAGACCTAGGAAAAAATAATATTAATATGAAAATGGATATGATCCAGTACAGACCACAGGAATTCATTTTCTTTTATGATTTTCATTTTATTGAGCCTAATTCCTAGGATTACTAAAAGAAATAAGTACTTTCTTGCTTAATAATTTTCTTCTTAGGGAATAGAAGGCTCTGAAGCCAGTGGATCTCACTCTTGGCCCTATTAATTGTGAGATCTAAGCCACATTACCTAAGACAAGGACACTTGCTAAGAATTAATTTCTACTCATCTCAAGGGACCATAAGACAATCAAGTGAGATCTCAAGGGAAAGGACATTAGAGTCCTAAGTGAAGACAAATTTAGCCCAATCCATTCTTTTTAATGCAAAAGAAAACTGAAGCTTCCTGCTCCTCTGTCTCCCAAAGAAACAAATAAACAAAAACACAGTAAACAAAATGAGATTAAAAACTGAATCTCAGAAAGGGGAAGTGATTTGCTCAGGGCCGTATAGCTGCTGGCAAGAGGCAGGGCTTGGTAGGAGGACTGGGGAAATGTTCTCTCAGTGGTCAGGTTTATTCTGGGCTTGGTACAACCTGAGTAGTAAAAGGGGATGGTGGGTGAGTCTTGCAATGACCTAAGTGGGGAAGAGATTGAAGCATTCAATTCCATTTGGAGTAGCAATCCTTGTAGTTTCCAGAAAGGGTCTCTTCTTCTTCAGCACTGTAAGACAAGTGTACTATGGGAGGCCACCAGCTTCCTGTGGCTTGGAGATCAGTTGATTAAGACCTGATGGTAAGACCTTTTCGAAAAAAGCCTATCTCTGAAATGCCTTGAGAAGTGTGAATGGGTTGGAGTTATCAGCTCTGATCACAGATTCTAAGGAAATATCACTGATCTTTCATTCCCTAATGTAGATCAAATAAATCCTCCACTGAATGTCACAGCAGAGATTGAAGGAACTCGTCTCTTTATCCAATGGGAGAAACCAGTGTCTGCCTTTCCAATCCATTGCTTTGATTATGAAGTGAAAATACACAATACAAAGAATGGATATTTACAGGTAATTCCTCAGATCATTCCAATATTTGAAGACAGACATTCGTTTTAGAAACATTTAAAACATTATCTTCAGTGACTGCAACTGAATTACAGCTTTGTACTAACAAGGTGAAAGTTAACTTATATCTACCCAGGTATTATAGATAGAAACTAAATCTTACTGGCCTTTTATTTAGAAAGAATATATTTTGGTTTAAACTAATACAAAGGATTAGATACAGACTCATTGGTACTATTAGTTACAACCCAAATTGATGGTTGGGCACAGTGACTCATGCCTGTAATCCCAGTATTTTGGGAGGCTAAAGTGGGCGGATGACCTAAGGTCAGGAGTTTAAGACTGCCCGACATGGTGAAACCCTGCAGTATTTTCAGTACTATAGGTTAGTACTGTACCTATTTTTACCTAGGCAAATTGTTGTTTCCTGCAACCTCATAAAGGAGTCAGCTGAGGTCAGGAGTTCAAGACCAGCCTGGCCAACATAGTGAAACATCATCTCTACTACAAAAACAAAACCCATCCAGATGTATAATCCCAGCTACTTTGGGGTGGGGTTGGGGGGTTGAGGCAGGAGAATCGCTTCAACCAGGGAGGCAGAGGTTGCAGTGAGCTGAGATTGTGCCACTACACTCCAGCCTGGGTGACAGAGTGACATTTCATCTCAAAAGGAAAGCAAAATCTAAAATGATGCAGCTGCTATAAAAACGGTATGATGAATTCTCAAAAAATTAGAAAAAGAATTTCCATATGATCCAACAATTCCACTTCTGGCTACATATACAAAATAATTGAAAGCAAGGATTCAAAGAGTTGTTTGTACACCCATGTCCATAGCAGCATTATTCACAATAGCCAAAAGCCAGAAGCAACCTGAGTGCCCATTAAATGAATGGATAAGCAAAATGCAGAGTATACATACAACAGGATATGAGCCAGCATTAAAAGGAAGGAAATTCTGGCATGCTACAACACAGAGGAGCCTTGAGGACACTATGCTAAGAAAAATTAGTCAGTTACAAAAGGACAAATACTGTCCGATTCTACTTTTATGAGGTTAAATAGTCAAACTCATAGAAACAGAGTAAGATGGTGGTTACCAGGAATTGGTTAGGCTGGATGGAGAGCTATTGTTTAATGGGTACAGAGTTTCAGTTTTGCAAGATTAAAAGAGTGTTGAACATTGGTGACACAACAATGTGAAAATACTTAATATTATAAAATTGTACACTTAAAAATGGTTAAGATGGTAAATTTCATTATATGTATTTTACCACAATTTAAAAAAAACGTATTAGCACTAATGGTAAAAAATTTCAAGGGGAATGCAACTGAGAAGAAAATCAACCAACATTTCTTGAGCATCAATTATGTGTCAAGCTTTATTATTTGAGTTTATTCTATCCTCACAATAATGCTATGATGTAATTATCATTCTCATTTTATAGGAAAGTGAGGCAAAAGAGATAAAATAACTCTCCCATAGTCACAAAGCTAGAAAAAAAAACAGGATAGTCAGGATTCCAACTCATATCTTATTGAGAGTAGACAAAGCCAATTCAATTTGATTCAACAAATATTTACAAATTGGTTCCTTTGTGAGAGATAAGGATAAATAAGACTGTTTCTGTCATCGAGTGACCCAATTTTGTGACACACTTGCCCAGTCTTGGGGTTGCCCTCCTACACGAAAAGCCAGTGCAGCTGGAGATAGGGGTGTGGGCAGAGAGCCCGCTCTGCAGAGGGGAATTGAACGGAATCTGCAAGGATGAAGAGAAACTGGTCTGGTGAGAAAACATGAGGAGGACTTTCTTAGTCAGAGCTTCCCAAAATACTTACACTGAAGGACTGTGTGTGTGTGTGTTTTATACTGTCTAATCTACCATAGACTGGTGCTTTCGTCAAATACAATTAAAATGATTTGCTAGAAAAAATTAAATACAGCCAAAGACATGTAAAGTGTCAGTTCACTGATGTGTTTGTGTATCATAGCAATGTCAAATTGCTATCAAAACTTCCAAATTGCAGTCATAATTTCTATATTTAGCCCATCACAGGCCAGTAATAAATAGTGCCTGACTTGCACCAGTCTAGGAAAGGAGTGACTTTATGCTTGAGAGAGTATGGTTCCTTCAGCCAAGTGGCAAGTAACTCAGTCTGCCTGGATGCCTGGACATAAGACTAACACTGGAATCATGACTCTATATGTGACCCTGTGACTTCTCCCAAGTGGCTCTATAGGATTTTGTTAAAAAATAAAGAAATAGCTTCTTTTCTTTAAAAAAAAAAAATGACTACAGGCAATAGATGCCACTGAAAAGTTTTGCACAATAAAGAAATGTGTCTACATTTGCATAGTAGAAGAATTTTGGTGGCAGCATGAAAACTTGATGTGAGTGGGGAAGGTACGCATGGACATATGGATATCAGTTAGTGGCTACTGTAAGAGTCCAAGCAAAAGATAATAAGAGCTAAAATAGGCTCTTATTTTACTCCAGTCATGGGCCTGGAGTAAAAAAGGGAGAAATACCTCCAGGGGATATTCAAGATGCAGGTATCAGGAACACATCTCTGGCCCAGGGGACTAGTTGGATGGTGGTGACAATGATCAGCAAAAAGAAAAAGGTGAAAGCCTCATTCATGAGAAAATACCTTCATTTCGACACTAGACAATCTAGTGTTCGTGTGATATTATTTAGTAATGTGACCACAGATTATGGAGGGACAAGGTGAAGGAATAAAGCATTCTGGCATAGGCCACTCCAGTCTTTCAGTCTGGAAACATGAGCTGGGCCTGGATAGGATCACCTGGATCTTGACCATTGACCATTTCACATATTTTGGTTATAAGACAGCATTCCCCTGAAGGGTGATTGCCAACACATCCACACGGAAGCATCTAGCATAAACTAATTGTGTTCTGTTGATTTTAAATTGCTTGCTGATCAGTGAGTCACATGACCCACATAGGACCTCCCGTTTTGACAATTGGCAGAACTAAAGCGTCCAGAGATTCTTATAATGCTATTTTTCCCCACTTAGATAGAAAAAATGATGACCAATACATTCATCTCAATAATTGATGATCTTTCTAAGTACGATGTTCAAGTGAGAGCAGCAGTGAGCTCCATGTGCAGAGAGGCAGGGCTCTGGAGTGAGTGGAGCCAACCTATTTATGTGGGTAAGTAGCTTATGTTTGTTTTGCATTGGCAGCCTTCCTTGTAATCAAAGATGGTAATCCCAGAAATGTACACTTTCATTTGTGGGTCTTAAAATGGTTCATATCTCTATTGTGACTCATTTTCTATTGGTCTACTGCCTTTTCAACCAGGGATAGATCTGCCATGAAGCCAATAAAGTTTAAGTGTCCAAGCTTCTCATTAGCACCAATCTTCCTAGACCTGGTACCTATTTGTTCCCCCACATTTTATTTCTACTTCTAGCCATTTTTAAAATTCAACTTTTTATTTTGAAATAATTATTAGACTCACAGGCTGTGGTAAGAAATAATAGAGATCCTATGTCTCTCATCCAATTTTCCCTAAGGGTAACATCTTGCAAAAATTTAGTACAATAGTGTAGCTATAATATTGGTGTTGACAATCCAGATCTTACTGAGATTTCCTCAATTTTATACATCCCCACTTGTTTGTTTTTTGAGACAGAGTTTCTCTCTATCAATCAGGCTGGAGTACAGTGGAATAATCTTGGCTCGCTGCAACCTCCACCTCCCGAGTTCAAGCAATTCTCCTGTCTCAGCCTCCCAAGTAGCTGGGACTACAGGCACATCGACCAAGCCTGGCTAATTTTTGTATTTTTAATAGAGACAGGGTTTTACCACATTGGTCAGGCTGGTCTTGACCTCAGGTGTTCCACAGGCCTCAGCTTCCCAAAGTGCTGGGATTGCAGGCATGAGCCAGTGTGCCCAGCCATATGTCCTCATTTGTATATGTGTGTTTGGTTCTATGCAATTTTAGCACAGGTTTAAATTCATGTACTCATCATCACAGTCAAGATACAGAGCAGTTTCATCATCGCCTGTTACCCTTTTATAAATATAACTATCACTCTCCCATCTTCTGTCCCTGAACCCTGGCAACTACTAGTCTGTTCTCAATCTCTGTAATTTTCCCATACCTAATTTTGACTTTATACTTTTATTTATTTAAAAGAAGATTCCAAAATTGAATAATCTATAGGAGTCCACAAAATCTGGATCTGTCCCTGAGCTTTCAGCCTAACAGACATAGAGGATCAAAGTGTTTGCTCTGCAACTGTTTATGTTAGGATCAAATGGACTAGTTTGCTTGGCATGTTAAGATGGGCATCTTCTCTGTCAGTGAGCTCCATGAAGGGTAATAATATAGCCAATGGCAGCTATAAATGAAGGGGCACATTTCCAGTCTCACCCTGTCGCAGATGTCAATTACACACCCAGGATATGTGGACTTGCACCTTGAAGATGGAAAATTCATACCCTGTGTTTGCTATTACCTGGGTGTTGCAGGCAAGTCAACAGAGGCATTGTCTGAGAGAAGGAAATAGTTAAAAAGCAGCTAGTGTGTCTCAGGCATATGTTAAACCATGCAGCCTGGGAAGGCAGACACATACCATTAACTGTTCCACTAGGTCTACAAGAGCAGGGGATGATGGGCAGAAGACTGGAGCCTTACATAGAAAGCCCAGGTTTAACATTCAGCCTTGACAAGGATTGACTGTGTATCCCCAGACAAATCATTTCTCTCTGTTTGCTTGGGTTTTTCAAGATAAAGGAGATAACACCCACCTTCCCTGCTCCACAGGGTATCTGAAACAAAAACAACAGCAGGGATAGCAGATTACATATATTGGGTTTTCGTTGTTGTTGTTGTTGTTTTTGCCAAGCATTATGCTAAATACATTATCTTAGTCCTATCAACAAACTTATTTTGCAGAGGAGGAAATAGATTTGGAAAGTTTAGGTGATTGGCTTAACTGTGTAGCCAACAACAAGTGGCAGAAATGGGGCTCTAACCCCAGATTAACTGACTCTAGCACTTGGTCTCTGGGCACTCTGGCATGGTGTGACAGGATTCTGCAAGCTTCAAAGTGCTGGGTAGATTAAAGTCTTATTTAAGAGATCTTGGTAGCCAGTCTTTGTGATTACGGCTGGTCAAACATGGGGATGTCATCTCTCAAAAATCCTATGGGGTTTTCAATAACCACTGGAAGAGTATACATAGGAGAGACTTATTTCAGGCACATGCTAAAATGTTTTACTATTTAATTAATTCACTTAAGCTAGGGGGTGCGTCTTCAGGAAAGTCTTGGGCAGTGACCCACTAGCCCATATGGAAATGACTCAGATCTGACATACAGCAGGTAGATTTCCATGGAAGACTGGGAAAGATGAGGAAAGTCCTGATAAATGGAGAACTGTTCTGAGTTTGCCATGTGGCTGGTCATGCTAAGTTACTGAGTTCCCAAAGGAGAATAGCATCCCCTAAAGTTGTGCAACATGCAACCAGCTCAGCTTTAGAGGGACAGCCCTCACATCACTCAGAGAGACTTACAGGAGCAGCGTGAGCCTTCCTGGGGAGAGAGAACTGAAAGGACACTAAAAGGAACTGAGAATAGGCCAAATTCACCTGCTTCATAATTCTGTCCTCCCTTCCTCCTGCCCCCACCTAACTAAATTGACCCAGCACATGCAGAACTTCCCTCAACATAGCTCCATTTGCACAGAGAAAATTCACTCTGTTTCCCAAGAAGGAAACAAATATGAGAAACATTAATCAGTCTCAGGGAATTTTTAACAAGGTCATTAATTTTGTCAAATGCCTAAGGTGGAAGTTTAATTTTTGTTACTTGACTTTAATAGACTTCTTTTTAAACATGCTTTATGTTACTCCCCAGAGGCACAGAATTCACTGGCTCAAAACTATTGCTATTTCTGTCTTTCCAACAGAAATATATACAATTCTGGAGATTTTTAAATGCTGTCTAAGGAACCCTAAACCACGATGATGGACACCAAGGTCAGAATCCTGGATAGGAAGCCAGTTATGCTTTCTGAGTCTTTGACTTTTGAAGTTATAGTCAATGTTGACTGTAGATAATTTAGAATGTATAGGGTGAAAAAGAAGCACTAGATATTCCGGACATCTAGGTTTTAGCCATGGCTCTGCCAGTGTCTAGCTCTATGATGTAGCTAGAAATGGCAAAAGATAATATTTTGTGAGCAAAGTAATCAGAGACAGCTTAGAGTACAGTGTTGAGAAGGATTCTGAGGCTAAATTTAGACTGTCGGAAGGAACCGTGATCTCCTGTCACCACTGCAGGAGACAGAGTGGCGACCAGTGTGCCAGGGTTTTGCCACCCTGTCCTAGTCCATCTACACCTAGCCCAATGGGCCTTAGCATCCTCACCTGTAAAATATACGTGCTGCACTACAAACTTGCTTCCAACTCTGCCATTCACATTCACCTCCTCTGCACCACCGCACTGCAAAAGTGCTGAGAGCGAAATTGTGATCCATAATGAGCGCTTATTTTAAGCTTGTTTTTAATTTATCATTCACTCTCCGCTTTAGAGCTCTCTTACCATTGTTATTTCCTAAATAACGCCTTCCTAGTTTGAATATGGGCTCATTATACCTTCCCCCCTAGGTGTACTTCGTTGCCATTATCTATAGCAAATCCCATTTCATTTACTGCCACCCTTTTCATGAAGATGAGCTGATTAATATTACTACTCACCTTATAAATTCATCCTTTCTGGAATTTACTCCGCTGCTCAATTTAGGATCATTAGTGAATTTAATCAAGGTAGACTTTCCATTTTCATCAAGATGATTAATAAACATAATAGGAGTTCAAGCCCCTCTGGGACATTTTGCGTGGCTCTTTTTTATCCCTTGAGGATGCAGCAATAATTACGTCCAGCTAGGATTTTATCAGGCGATTTTGCTGCTACATTCATTTCCTTTAAACACGCTTTCTCGTCTTTCGCCTTATCTTAAAAATGACAGGCTACAGCCCTCCCACTTCATTTTACTCCAATGTTCAACTCAAATATTACCCCTTTCTTAGATATTAATTCCCCCCCCCCCGCCATTATCATTATTTTAACTTAAGAAAATGGAGGTCCTGAGATACTAAATGACTCAGCGGTTGTCCAATAGCCAAGAAATGACTATTAACATAATTTTCTCAAATAGGTGATATATGAGCCAATTAGTGAATTAGAATAGATTTGATTCACTAATTAACCCATTATAGCCCAAGGTTCTTTCATTACAAAAATGAGACACGGGGTAAGTTTTGATTGATGAGATAAGGGGAGCTGGGAGAGGCAGGGGGTGCTGTCCAGCTCTGTTGGTAAGGTCCCTGGCCACCCAAGGGGCACAGGGGACAGCAGGTAGGGATAGTAAGCAAGTGAGTGCTCTTTGCTTGCTCTCAACGGTGTCTGATTGGCTCTCCTGTCCTAGAATTTCCAGAGTATGGAATTTTTAAAATTAAAAACAATTGTTTTATTTCAACAGTTTTTGGGGTACAAGTGGTTTTTGGTTACATGGATGAATTGTATAGTGGTTAAGTCTGGGCTTTTATGGTACCTATCAGCTGAATAGTTTACATCATATCCAGTAGATAATTTTTCATCCCTCATGCTTCTCTCTCCTTCTGAGTTTCCAGTGTTCATTATACCACTCTGTATGCCTTTTTGTACCCATAGCTTAGTTCCCATTTGTAAGTGAGAGCATGTGATATTTGGTTTTTTGTTCCTGAGTTACTTTCCTCAGGATAATGGCCTCCAATTCCATCCAAGTTGCTGCAAAAGACATTATTGCATTCTTTTCGTACAGCTGAGTAGTATTTCATGGTGTATATTTACTGCATTTTCTTTATCCGTTCATTGGTTTGTTGGTGGGTACTTAGGTTGATTCCGTATCTTTGCAATTGTGAATTGTGCTGTGATAAACATGCATGTTAGGTGTCTTTTTGATATAGTGACTTCCCCTTTGGAAGATTTCTCAAATAACTAAATGAGCTCTACAATTTAATTCAGAATTATTTTTAAGAGATGAGAGGGGGTCTCACTATGTTGCCCCGGCAGGTCTCTAACTCCTGGGCTCAAGCGATCCTCCTGCCTTAGCTTCCTGGGTAGCTGGGACTATAGGCACATGCCACTGAGCTGGGCTGG